GATGCTCCAGCTCTGCTGGTGGCCAAAGTCCACTGTGCTCTGCCCCATCAATGGGCCTCTTCCACCATCCCACTGAGAAACATGTTTCTCCTTTGAGGGATTTTGGGTAAGAGTGCGCCCCGCTCAGTTATGAAAAACTTTTAGGGTTAAGCAAGAGGCTGGGCAAGTGTCTGGCTAATCCCAGTGTGGTATCCAGACCAGCAGCCTGGACCTCACCTGACACTTGCTGGAAAAACACTCCAAGGTCTCACTTCCAGAGCTACTGAATCAAAATTTGCATTTTAACAAGATGCTCATGTGATTGCCATGCACATAAAGTTTAAGAAACTCTACACTGCATGACCTTCAAAACTGCACCAGTCCTGGGCTTCTGTGACTCTGGTGACAAATGCCCTCAATTTGGAGATCTTGTCAATGTGTGTGTGTGTGTGTGTGTGTGTGTGTGTGTGTGTTTCAAACCAAAGTCAGGCAGCCCATACTTCTGTTACACATCATATTAAATTCTAATTTGGTTCTTTAATCCAGTGGGATAGTCATTGTCTTTTGAGTTTCATTATTTACAGACAGGGAGCCCCTGAGTGAGTGACATGCTCTCTTTCCATCTCAGTTTCTTCATCTGTGAAATGGAGATACCATCTCCCTCGCCGCCAGGCTTTGTGGGCATCCAAGAAGCACATCCAGATCTAAAGTGCTCTGTGTCCCATTCCTTTTTGCTTATCTTTGCCCCCTGTGAAAGAGATGGGGGATTGAAACCTGCAGTTAGTGTAATGGCTATGTCGCTGGACTCCCACGTAGTCGATCGGTTCGCGTCCTGGACCCGGTGGCTTAAAACTCACGCCGGGCGCGTGTGCGTGCGTGCCCAAGATCCCGAGAGGAGAATGGAGGAGAAGGGATTGCGGCGTGACCATCCCCCCTGGGGGGTGATTTCTCGCTTTCTGTCTCTATGTCTCTCTCTGTCTGGCGAGCGCACGCGCCCTATAGCAAAAATCTCTCCAAAAAAAAAAAAGAGATGGGGGCTGAGGACCCAAAGGATAAAGCAGGGTTTCCCAAACTGCAAGGTCAGAGGGTTTAATTAAGGAATGAGAGAAAGCAAGAGGTCTCCAAATACTTGTGTGCAAATTAGTGGTATGCTAATTTCAGAATTATAGGTCAGAGTTAAATCAGGCCCCCAGATCTGTCTGTGCTTGTCAGAGAACGGAAGAGAAAGCACCCTCCAATAGAGCATGGCCACACTGCAATCCTTTTTCTTCCTTTTCTGCACCTCATCAGGATGCAGAGTATACATGCACATGCCCGTGGAATATTTTTCAAGCTGCCAGGACCGGGACTCGAACTGCAGTTGGCCCTGTGGGATCCAGCTCCATATGCACTGCACTTAACAGCTATGCTAGTGGACTGACCCACGTTTTCCAATTCTTAACTGGAAGTTCTTACACGTGTGTGTGTGTGTAAGGGGGATGGGTCAACTTGGATGATGGGGAGGGATGATACTTGAATGTCTTAAAATTGTATCCAGCATTCCGTGCATGGTATGTTCTTCTAAGAAGTTATGCTTCATCCTATGGGGGAAGGAGGGGCTGGAGAGTCAGGTAAGGGAGGACCATGTAAAAATAGTGCTCTATTAGCTGTGACCCAAGGTCTCAGGGTCCTTCCTCCCTGCTCTCCAAAGCTCCAAGCTCCTTCTGCATGTGGGCCTTTGCACCAGCTGAGTTTATTGCCTGCCAAGACATTTATTTACCCCTCTTTTCACCTAGTCAACTCCTACCATTATTCACTTAAGGTCCCCCTTAAGCGTCCCCACTTCCCCCAGGGAGGTATTCTGATTCCTGCAGTCTCCTCAGGTCCCCACAGCCTCTGACCCTGCAGCCTTCCTCTCCTTAGTAGAATTGGTCACAATGGTAACAGTGAACTCATGCACTTGATAATTTGCTTAACGCCTGTCTGTTAAACTAACATGTCCTAGGTGTTGTGTCTCTTTTCTTCACTGCTCCATCCCCCAGGGTTCAGCATTTTGCCCCAGGAGGTGCTCAAGGGTCCTCTCCCAAAGCTCAACCCTCCTCAGCCATTCTCCACAGCACTCATCATTATCTGAAATACATAGGAGGAGATAGAGGAAGCTGTGAGTGCAGGGCTTCTCAACTTCACAACTGTGACATTTGGGCCAGATCATTCTTTGTCCTTTGCATTACAGGGTGCTGAGAAGCTCCTCTGGTCTCCATCGGATGCACTACTTTCCTCTCAATTGTGACTATTGATAGTCTCCAGACATTGCCATATATTCGCTGGAGAACAGAATTACCCCCAGATGAGAGCCACTGAATACACACACACACACACACACACACACACACTCACACACATGAGTGTCTTGCACTGCATAATGATGTTTGGATCAAGGAGGACTACATATGAGACAGAGGTCCCGCAAGAAGTATATAAACTATAGCATGTAGCCTGGGTGTGTATTGAGCTAAACCATCTAGATTGGTGTTAGTGCGATCTATAATGTTTGCACAGCAATAAAAATCACTTAACATGTTTCTCAGAACATATCCTTATCATTAAGTGGCATGTGTATGTATTGCACACATATACACATGTGTATATGTGCAAACATATGCATACATGCACATGTGTGCATATGCATTATACATACACATGCATAAACATTCATGTGCTAAAAGGTATACATGTTTAAGTACACACAAGGTTACTTCCAAAACTTTGTGCAGAAAATAGTTGAGTATGAGTCTGTTTTGGTGCCAAAAATATATGAAATCCATGCGTTTCCTGTGAATTTTTGAAGCCCTCTTGCATATGTGTATATATACTTGAACATAGATGTGTGTGAAAGTGTGTGTATTCATTATATGCTCCATGAAGACAGGGATTTTTCTTCTTTGTTCACTGCCTGCTTCCTAGCAGGTGCCCATAAAACCGTGTTAAATCACTGAGTAAGTGAACACCAGCACCTCGAGGGTGGCTCTGTGGATTAAATGAGATCATTCATTCCTTTCCCGCACTCAGCATGTACTAGGTAACAGTAGGTCATCAGTTAATGCTAAGCCCTCTTTCCTCTTCTCTTTCCCCATTTCCCACCCCCTTCCCCTTAACTGCCAAAGGTCTTGTTTATTATTTTACCCCCCATGAATTCTGCATTTTGAATGGTCTCTATCCCTAAACTGGTGAAGTGACATACTCACTTCGCCCCGTGCAAAGATGCAGCAAGCGGTGCTGAAACATCAGCATCTCTCTGAAGAACTGGACGCTCTGTTCTGTAGGAAAACCATGGTCCCCCATGTGCCGTGGCTGCCACTGTCCTCCCAGAGATCCTCATGGTATTATCAACAATTAGACGCCTGAGTAGGACAAGCCAGCTAGTATTGCAGCCAACGGAATTCAGCTCCATAGAAATGACATTTCTGGTTTGTCTGCCTGTGCAGAGCCATCAGGAGAAAAATAGTGATTTCCATTAAGAATTTTTTTAATTACTGGAAAATACTGACAGCCTTCCCTGCATCCCCTCCCCCTGCACGCAGACTACCACAAGGAACCCCAGTTTGGGAACCATCAGCCCCACAGTGGAGTTTTTCATGCTGTCATGTTCCTGAGGAGCCTAGAGAAGGCATTTTTCAGGGTACAGCTACTCGATCACTTTCATTCCCTGCTCCTAGTAATGAGCTTTCGGCCCTAATTAGAATGAAATGTGTTGTTTCCCTTCCTTCCTTCACCATCTTCGTAATGATCTTTATCATTAGGGTGGGTTAATTTCTCATGCTTCCCCCTCTCGTTATGATTTCATCGTTGTGTGTGTGTTGCCGTGTACGCGTGAGTCCCTTTGCTGTGTGGATGGGAATCGTTAAGGGGACCTCACTAGCACTGAAAATAAATAAGAAAAAGCAAAGTGACAAGGAATGGAAATGGCACCAAATGGGCCTCCTTCTGCCAGCCTCTCTGGAGAACCCTCGAGAACAGGGAAGCATGAAGCAGCGCCGTTTGTCCTTCCTGGTTGCTGTTGCTTTAATGAGAAAGAGAAATGAATGGATCCAGGACATTCCTGCCATCTTCAAGCCCAGCACGCATTGTGAAGTCCTCAGTGAACAGTGAATGTGCCTCGCTGAGCGCTGAGCGAGGCTTTGAAAGGCTCCCGGGCACAAAGGCCTCTGCCCGGACTTGCTTCTTCCCTCTCCGTTGGGTCTCCTGGCTTGAGCACTTTCTCTCCTCACCTGATAACATGCTCTCTCCCAGTGCGGCAGCTGCATTTCCAGCTCTGGGAGCCTGAGGTGGAGTGTCCCTGCTCCCACCTGGGCCCTCTTCTCAGGACTCATTTCTAAGGCCTGTAGGAAGGAGGGAGGAAGTGAGGGCCCCCCAAAAGTCACGTAGAAAGTCCCATTCAGTCCCCCAAATGCTTATTATCTTCAAAGCACTTTCTAGTTGTTAAAGAATGAATCACTCTCAATGAACGCACTGGAAGGGGGTGATCTTATCCCAACTTAACCTGCCTATGCCTCATGCTTATTGATTAGTTCAGTCTCCCAGGAAAAAGGCAAAAAGGCTGCTCCCTCTGACCCCTGCACTGAAAACCACTGCCTTCTGGCAAAAAGAGCATGCTGTGGGACCAGCAGTTAGTGTAATGGCTATGTCAATGGACTCCCACGTAGTCGACTGTGGTTTGAGTCCCGGACCCGGTGGCTTAAACTCATGCTGGGCTCGTGTGCGTGCGTGCCCAAGATCCTGAGAGGAGAACAGAGGAGAAGGGATTGCGGCATGGCCATACCCCTGTGGGGGGTGATTTCTCACTTTCTGTTTCTCTGTCTCTCTCTTTCTGGTGAGCGCACGCGCCCTATAGCAAAAACCTCTCAAAAAAAAGGAGCATGCTGTATCAGCTAGGATAAGATCCACTATGCCGCAGTGACAGGTGACCACAAATTCTCAGTAGCTTTCAACACAGGATTTATTTCTAACTCATGCTACATGTCCAGTGCAGCTTCTGGTGGCTCTGTTCCTTGTCATCTTCACTCCAGGACCCAAGATAAGTCGGCCATCTAAGAATGGAGCAGCCTCTATGTAAGATGTTGCCTGGGAAAAGAGAACAAGGCAGATCATGTGCTGCCTCTAAAAGCTCTGCTCCAAGCTGGTACACGTCAATTATCTTCTCATTTCACTGACCAGAGGAAATCACAAGGCCACACCTGCACCTCTGGGAGGAAGGTATGATCTTCCTCCAGAGGGCAGCAATGGACATTTCTGTGACATTTATTATCACAGACAAACAAGCTAACAAAAACATTAGGCATTAAATCATTAACTAGTACAGAGCAATGAAATGATATGCAACATGGGCGAGTCTTCCAAATGAATAGTGAGTGACAAAAGCAAGTTTCGGCCCATGGCCTAGTAGTGAAGGGAGCCAGATCCCACGTGACTGACTGCTTGGTTCAAATCCCAGTCCTGGTGGCTTTATAAATACACTGGATGTGGGACCAGTAATTGGCGTAATGGCTATGTCATTGGACTCCCATGTAGTCGACCGCGGTTCAAGTCCCAGACCTGGTGACTTAAACTCATGCTGGGCGCGTGTGCGTGCTTGCCCAAGATCCTGAGAAGAGAATGGAGGAGAAGGGATTTCAGCATGGCCAACCCCTGGGGGGTGATTTCTCACTTTCTGTCTCTCTCTTTCTGGTGAGCATGCACGCCCTATAGCAAAAATCTCTCCAAATAAATAAATAAATAAATCACTGGATGTGTGTGCATGTGTCCCGCAAATCAGGATGGATAAAGAGAACGTATTGCAGCATGAGCGGGGGTGCCCCACTGGGGGGTTTTCTCTCCTTTTCTCTCTGTTTCTGTCTCTCTCTGGCAAGCATATGTGCCCTCTGGCAAAATAAGAAAAAATGTATGTTTTAGAAGACTACTCATATTGTGATACTATTTTTTAAAGGTTCAAAAAGTAGTGTGTAAGTATAAATTGATTAAATAAGATTGTTTTAAAGTTTATTTATTTTGTCCGTGGGGGAGGGAGCAAGAAGGACACAGTGATTAGGGTCTTGATGACGTGATCTGCCCCTAGACTCAGCCAGCCCAGATCATGGAATGCAGGTGCACTTCCCTGAGCATGGGAAGTGCTGGGACACAAACCCAGGACACTCCCACGCAGGTCCAGTTGCTTTACCACTGCACTGCCCCCTGGTCCCTGGGTAAGATATTTTTAAAAGAAATGGCAATAAACCCTAAGACTAATCATAGTGGAATTGTCTGATGGGAGAGGCAAGGGTTAAGAATAAAGGAGAGGTAAACAGGATATACTGGTTTCCCGTGTTGGTGTCATTATTGTCATTCATAACTTACGTGTATATTACATATACTACATCTATTACTTTATGTGGCATAAGACTTTATTTATGAAAGAAAGAACAGTAGATTTGGAAATAGACCTGGTTCAAATTCCAGCTCTAGCACTAAACTGACCTTATGACCTTGGGTTCTGCATAATCCCATCTGGTAAAGGAAAGGATTATGGGAAAGAGCTCCCTTTCACGCTGACTGGAAGAACTAGAGGGGACCTTGGAGCATTTGGCACAAAGCTAGACAGAGAGCCGATGCTTTTAAAAGATTAGTAGGGAGACCAGCAGTTAGCGTAAAGGCTATGTCGCTGGACTCCCACGTAGTCAACCGCGGTTCGAGTCCTGGACCCGGTGGCTTAAACTCACGCTGGGTGTGTGTGCATGTGTGCCCAAGATCCCAAGAGGAGAATGGAGGAGAAGGGATTGCAGCGTGGCCATCCCCCCCTGGGGGGTGATTTCTTGCTTTCTATCTCTCTGTATCTCTCTGTCTGTCTGGCGAGCACACGCGCCCTATAGCAAAAACCTCTCAAAAAAAAAAAAAAGATTAGTAGGTACCGTGTAGTTAGGTGGTAACGACCAATGAGGTGTTGCTCAAGAACTGGCCTTGAAGCCACACCTGTCACCACACTTACATGGCCAAAGGCTGGCCGGGTTTGGCCTCAGGCAGTCACAGGCAGTCAGTGAGTACAGGGAGCCCTGGGGCCAGGTGGGGCATTCTTGCCAGACCTGACCAAGCAGGATAGCCCCAGAGATCTCTAGCTCAGGGGTAGAAAAAAAATCTGTGCTTCTGGAAACATGTGGAACTCAATGCAATGTGGAGAGGCTGACTTCTAGAGTCCGAAGCCAGGAGAGACGGGGCAGCTAAGGAAGATGGAGTGGGCTGGGTTAGGGGAGAAGTCAGGATTTAGGCGGAAACCATGTGGAAACCCTTCTGGGTATGTTTTTTTGCTTTTGTTTTTGGAGAGATGTTTGCTCTAAGGTACATGTGTTCTCCAGAGACACAGACACAGAGAGAAAAATCAAACCCCATGGGGGGATGGCCATGCCTCAATCTCTTCCCCTCCATTCTCCTCTCAGGATTTTGGGCATGCATGCATACATACATGGTGTTTTAAGCTGTCTGGTCCAGGACTCGAACTGTAGTCAACCACATGAGAGTCCAGTGCCTTAACCAATATGCCCCCTTCTGGCCCCGTTGCTGGGTCTGTTCAAAGGAGGTGCATGATCACTGGTAAGTAGGATATAATATTGGGTAGTCAGAAAAGTCATGACGTATTTTTGCATAGAAAAAATATGTCGTGAGTGTTCCAACCCAGTAGAATCATGCAAGATCTTTTAGTGAGCCATCCACCCGATACGGGAAGTCCTGAAGCAGGTGCTGCCTGTGCCACTTCCCTATCACCATAGTCTACCCCACAGGCCATCTGCAGACAGTCCCCATCCTGCACCCCCCACTGGAGCAGGCCCAGAAGTGCCAGAGAGTTAAAAGCTCAGGAGCAGCCTCAGGCCATGGGACCATGATGAATAAATATTTCCTTCTTCCTGTTCCGTGGGGACAAGCCGGGGCCCAGGTGGCACAGCCATTCACCTCCTCCCTGGCCATATCTTCCCTCTCTCCTATGCTTCCCAGGACCAAATCCCAAATAAACTCCTGCACCAAATCCTTGCCTCATGGTCTGCTTTGCAACCCAAACTGAGACAACCTGTCTGAGTATACTCAATACTCCTGTCTTCTTTGGAGGATTCCCCTTGGGAGTAGCTGTCATTCTGGAAAAGTCTGCCTGCCTGCCTGCCCTTCCTTCCTTTGCATGCAGAGTTCTCTTACACCAAAGACAGGCAAACTACAGCCCCAGACCAAATCCAGCTCACCACCTGATTATGTACAGCCCACCAACCAAGAATGTTTACACTTTTATAAATGTTGGGACAAAATCAAAAGAAGAATATCTGGCAACATGAGATTTCTGCAAGATTCAAACTGCAGTGTTGAAGTTGCATTGGACTGCAACGGTGCCAATTCTCTTTATGAATCGTCCAGGGCTGTTTTTGTGCTGTAACAGCAGAGTTCAGAAGTTGTGGTGGAGACCCTTGGCTTGCAAAGCTCTTATATGTGGCCCTCTGTAGAAAAGTTTGTCAACCTCTGTCTTAACACAGCGAATCGTGGAAACTCTCCACTGTCGCGGTAATGCCATCACTGAGAAGAAATGCCTATTAAGCTGAAGTCAAACACCAGCCTCTTGAAAAGTTGTTATGGGTTTCTTATGCATTAAGTGCAGACAACAGGGAAGTTAGGTAGAAGCCCAAACCTTAGAGGCAGAACTCACTTTGAGGAGCTTCTAGAAGCCGGCCACAGGAACCAAGGGGGCCCCTCAGGACTTGCCTCATGGACACCTTTCCCGTTCCAGCTCTGCAAGTTTGGGCTTTGGATAAACAGGCCAATCTTGGTCAGCTGGAATGCTCTGGAAACAGGCTGATGTGAGCAACTAAAACTTCTCTTTAATGGAAGAATGAGCAAAAAGCCCTTTCCGGATCACCCCAGGGGGAAAAAATCTTTCAGTTGTGTGCAAAACCCACTTTCCTGTTGGAGAAGCATGTACTGCAAATCTCAGTAAATCTCTCCGTTGCCTGAGGATGGCACGCAGCCCCAGAGTTGCCTTCTGAGCACCAGTCCCCATGGGTGGGACATGGTTTGTCCTACCACAGAAAGTGTAGGACAGAGACACCAGATCTGCCAAGTCCATGACATCCCGTCAAGCTGAAATTTTTAAAATTCCTGATACCAAATTAAAACCTTCTTCTTCCCCCCCCCTTCTGTCTGCCTTCTGAACACAGGTATCTTTAAAGGCACACTGTAGGTGAGGATGTTGAATGAGGGGTGTGAATCAGTCATCCTGGGGACTTTCTTAGTATAGAGACGCCCCAACTAACAGTGGTTCAACTTTATGATGGTTCGACTTAACAATCTTTTGACTTTACAGTAATGCACGATCAATACTTACAGGAGAAACAGTACTTCGAGTCCCCACACAGCTGTTCTGTTTTTCACTTTCAGTGCAGGAGTCAATAAATCACACAAGGTACTCGGCACTCTGTTGTGAAATAGGCAGTGCGTTAGATGACTTTGCCCAACTGTAAGCTAACGTAAGTGTTCTGAGCACGTTTAAGGTGGGCCAGGCTAAGCTGTGATGTTCAGTATGAAACTGTATTACATGCATGTGAACTTAAGATATTTTCAATTAACGATGGGTTTGTTAGGACCTGATCCCTGTTGTAAGTCTGGGAGCATCTGTATAGACTTCCATGTCCCACAGCAGACACACCAATGGCGAGCAGGAGGAAGCCCGGAAATCTGTCTTCTTGCCAAGCTTCCTAGTGCTTTTCAAGTATGTGCTGGGTTAAAAACCACCCATTTAAAATGGTATGTATTGGGCCAGCAGGTGGCTTGGAGGTCTGCACAGTTCAGGTCTAGGGCCTGGCAGCTTAAAAATCACATTGGGCAAGTGTGTGCTTGCCCTAGATCCCAAGAGGAGGCTGCAAGATAAGGGATTGTGGCATGGCTATGCTCCCTGGGGTGTGTGGGGGGGAGGTCTCTCACTTTCCCTCCCTCTCTGTCTTTCTCTGGCACCTAAACGTGCCCCAAACCATTTTTTAAAAAATAAATAAATAATAAAATGGTATGTGTTGGGCTGGTTCCATGGTGCAGTTGTTGAAGTGCTGCCCAGGAAAAGCCAGATCACACAGTCCCTGTAGTTTTGAGTCCCTGACCCTCAGCCTGAGACTCATTATGCAAACGTGCCCAGCACCCACAGGCTGGAAGGTTAGAGGAAGGGGCTGTCGACATGACCCTGTGCTTACCACTCTCTGTCTCATTGGGACATTCGCTGTGTTGTGAATAAAGAATATATTTTAAATAAAAATTGAAAAATAAAAGTTTATGTGTTTACGTAGAAAACATCCTATGGAATGTTATAATTTAAAAAAACAAACAAACATAAAACTGGCAAGTAGACCAGCCATTGGCATGGGGATTAAAGCAATTGGATTTCACATGACTGTGCATTTGAGAGCCTGAGAAATACACCAGGTACATGTGCTTACGTGCCCAAAATTCTGAAAGGAGAATGGAAGAGAAGGGATTGTGACATGGACATCTCCCATGGCGGGTGCTTTCTCACTCTCCCTCTCTGTCTTTCGCTGTCTCGCTTCTCCAGTGAGCGCTCACACCCTGCAGCAAATTAAAACCAAACCAAAACAAAAAACCTGGCAAGGTAGTGTGTCATGCCATTCAATTTCTGGGAAATTCTATGTTTTTCTATGTTTCACTAGGATGGAAAAAAGTCTTAGCAAGAGTAGTAGGATTTTATAGCTGATTGATACTTTTTATTTTTTTAACTTTCCCAACTTTTTAAAATTGCATGCCAAGAGCAGATATTTCTATCAGAATGAGAAAACCCTCTCTAAAGCTATCTCCATGGCTAGGGGTATGATGGGACTTGTAGAAGCCCTGGACCCTTTAGCAGTTGGAGTCTGGTGGGTGAGGTTTCGTGCTGTCTGGTGCCCTTGGATCTGGCTCTGCCTGTTGATGTGACCCTGAAGCTACTAGTGTCGGAAGCCAGTCTCCCTCCTGGCTTGGCCTCTGGCCTCCCTCTAAGGTGTCTGTGAGCTGTGCATGCCTCCAGGAGTAAGTACCCAAGGCCGCAGGGAGCGCCCAGGTATGGGAATGGCCTCTGGCCCCCCTCTAAGGTGTCTGTGAGCTGTGCAGGCCTCTAGGAGTAAGTACCCAAGCCGCAGGGAGCGCCCAGGTATGGGAATGGCCTCTGCCCTCTGTGTTCCCAACCAGCCCTAACATAGCCTCTAGGTCTCCACGGAACCCACCCATCACCTGGAAGCACTAAATCCTTCCAGAACTTTAGGGAGAAAACAGTCTGAGCAGAATGGAACTTAGTCCCTGCCCCAGGGCTTGCCCCTGGGCCATCCCTGATGACCCTGTTGCCTTATTATAGGAAGAGAGGCATTATTGTTCAGAGTTCCCCCCTCTCTCTCTCTCTCTCTCTCTCTCTCTCGTTCTCGCTCTCTCTCACTGTCTGTATCCTAAACCCCTGGACTTTGGAGGCCTGTAATCCCAGGCTAGTTCCCTCCAGACACCCCTAAAGATCCTACTCCTCTCCTGACAGCCCTTAGGAACCTGCCCTGGCGGTTTCCCCGCGAGGTCTACAAGGCACAGAATGGAAGAGAAGGCACTGGAAAGTTGCAGAGAAACCTAGAGGTGTCTCGAAAGCAGGCTTTGAATTACCCGTCTCTGCCTCATTGCTCACCATTTGTGTCCACAGCTCAGGGTTAGAAGGATTCATTCACCATCCTCAGATGTGGGCTGGTAAGTCAAGAACCTTCTGCCACTGGGCCAGAGGGCTTCCTGTAGACTTGGTCACCATGGAGCCAAATTATCTAACTCATCTTGTACCCCTAACATCCCCCAAAATAAGGTTTATGGAAGGAAAGAAGAAAGGGAGGGAGAAAGGATCCCCAAGAGTATTCCTCATCCATGTATCCTTCCGCAAATATTTACGAGCAGCTACTCTGTACCAGGGACAGTTCTAGTGGCTGGGATGTGACGAACGACATTAGTCCTGGTCCCCACCCTCCTGAGGCTGACAGTTTGCAGAAGGAGGGCAGAATTAGTAAGTAAGCATTTCTTACAAGAAAAGTAGAAATGACCATCTTGACTACAGTTGCATAAGAGAGGTGGAAGGCCCTCTGACCTGGTCAGTAAGCAGGTTGGGGGCCTTCCCTGTGGAAGCAAAGCTCTTTCTGAGCACCAGAGGTTGGGCGGGAACAGAAGCATTACCAGGTCCCCATCATCCTTCCCCCCACTTCAAGTACAGAACTTGAAGGACTTTCTGACCATGTTGTAATCTGGAGCTTTTTATCCCCCTCAGCCTTAGAGACCTCAAGGCCAAAAAGCCTAAAAAGGTCAGAGGTCAAAGTGGGCAGAACTGATCCGCCCTCCCCTGAGCCCACGTTTGATGCACGGTTGTTCAGAATCCCTTTCCCATGGGAGGCACCCTCTGAATGGAAAAATCTTACCCCAGCGTGGGAGCAGGCAGCCTTGCTTACCGAGGTGTCTCAAAAGTTGTGCAAATGACAAGCTCATTTTAAGCTGAGAAGACACATCTGAAATATTGATGTGGCAGCCGGGGCCCAGCTCCAGACCCAGCTACAAAGGGAGTGCTAAATAGTTGATGAACAGTATAATTAATCAGCGGTTATGGCCTTCTAACTGCAGGTGTCCAGCTAACTGCTCCCAAGCCCACTTCTCTGACCCACTGGAGCCCAGGGTGCCGCCATGCACAGCCTCAGCGGCACGTGAGCCAAACTGTCAATGTCCCACCATGCCGTCACACCCATCTCTCCCTCCACAGCCACACCTTTGCTGCAGCCTCACCCAGCGGGACCCAATAGACCCCCTGGGCTGCATCATCATCTGCTTTTCTGTGTGCTGTTCCATCGTCTCGGAAACCATTCTCCTCCTTGAGTACCTGGCTTCCTCACTCCCGCTACTAACTCACCCCAACCAGCTGTGTGAGCCAGAACATGTCACAGTGGCTCTGTGCCTGTTTCCCCATCTGTAAAAAGGGGAAGCTATCATAGTGGCAGCTGGGTAGGTCCACTGGGAAGACTGAAGCGTTAGGGATGTCAAGGACGTCGACACGTAGTATGTGCACTAGAGACGTTAGCTGTCGATGCCACTCGTCTTTCCTAACTCCTTTTCCCTGAGCCCTCTTGGCCTCTCCAGCTGAGTCAGGGCGTCCCTACAGCCTGTGCTTATGTCATTGCACTGTCTCTTCCACTGGTTCGTGGTTCTGGCTAGACTCTAGGCTTCCTGAAGGCAGGGATGCTACCGTCTGTCTCTGTATTCCCAGTGCCTGGAATTGAGACACAGTATCCAAGGCTGAATGGATGGATGAACAAATGAATGAAGGGGTGAGTGACTCTCCAAGCAGCTTTCTCCAGGGGCTGTTGTTCGGAGTCCCTTTCCCAGTGGCCTTCTGGCTGCAGGTGTCCAGCTAACTGCGTTGTGCTGCCACATCAGCAAAGAGGGAATCAACTCGGAATATTCCCCACCTGTATCTTAGGGTTGCTTCTCCAGCCAGCCTTGTGACTCAGCTGCCCTGGAGGCCGCCCTCTGCCTCAGGGCTGACATGTCACTAGGCACGGTGGCCACAGAGTCCAAGGCCCTCGTGTCGTGATGTGTCCTGCTCTGCTCAGCACCACTCGAGGCTGAGTTGGGGAAAGCTAGCCTCATGAGCCACCTCATCACCTTCCAGACTAGGGAGTTCCTGTAATTGGTCCCTCCCTGGCATTTGCCTCTTTTTCTCTCCCTGCCTCTTTAGTGGCTTTTCCCATCACTCATGCCTCTTTCCCCCTCTTCCAGGGTAATGGGCAGCCCAGAATCCAGGCAGCAGCCATGGGGTTGTCTTTGGCTATTCCCAGCCTTGGTCACCCTGCCACACCCTGCCTCTCCCCTATCATTGCATGCCGGATGCACACTGCAGACTCTGGGCAGCCCTGCCAGCCAGAAATGCAGACTGTTTTTGATTAGCATAAGCAACGTGCTTTCCTTGGCTAGGTCTGGAGCTGTCGCAGCCTAATTAGCAAAGCTGCCAGATCAGCAGGCCCTCTCATTAACGTTGATCCAGTCCCACCGTGTCCAGCTGCAGAAGCCCCCACAGTCCATCCCTCAGCCGCCCACCCCTAGGATCACACCAAGGCCCTGAGAGGGGACTGGCAGCCAAGAAGGCCATGCCATGACCTTACCATCAGCCGATGGGCTCATCTTCCGGTACGGCAGGCTTGGGCCGGGGCCTCTGGAAGTTCACCGTAGGCTTTGTGTCCCAAGTCTTTTTAGCCCTTTCATCATAGAGTGAGCCTCTGCGAGGTTCTGCAAAGGATGCTGATGCAAGCCGCAATCCTCAGGGAAAGCTCTGTCCTCCCCCTCATTCAAGCCACCCCACTGTCTGGCCTGCACCATGGATGGCCACAGCCCTCCTCTCTGGTCTGCCCAAGGAGTGTGATTAGGTCAGCTCAGGGCACCCAAGCCAGGGGATAAAAGCAAAGTGAGGAGGGGGGTGGGAGGGAGAGGAAGCTGCTTGGTTTAGGTAGTCAGGAGGGCTTCTTGGAGGAGGTTGCATTTTAGCTAAGACCTGAATGGCAAGGACAAGTTGGCCACACAACGATCTGGAGGAGGGCTTCCAGGACAAAGGTCAGAGAGTGCAAGTGAGGAAGAAGATGAGCAGGGTCAGCATGCAGGGTGCTGGGTAGGAGGCCAGGTTGGGGGAGATGATGAGATAAACATGATGAAGCAGTCCGGTGAGTGATTAAGTGACTGAGTGAATGCTGTCAGAACTGAAAGAACTGGGAGACCACTGGGACCCGGAGTGATCAGGGAAGCTATCTGGAAGACACAAAGCTTCTCTTCTTCATCATCATAGAAAGGGAGAGAGAAGAGGGAGACTCATGGAAGGGCAGGTGAGATTCAGATAGTTCCACGTGCTCCCTCTGCTATGTATCGCAAGTCATAGTTAATAGTTAATTAGATGCTAATCTTGGCATATCTGAACTCCTGGCTGTCGCAACAACCCCAGGATGGGAGCACTATAGTTATCCCAATTTCACAGTAAGGAAGTCTTGACTGTTCCAGGATCAAAGCTTTCCTACTGATAAAGGCCAGTGGCTCAGGCTGCTATCTTATTAATAGTCCAAGGGGCCAGATGACTGCCCCAGGTAAGAATTTAAATTGAAGGACCAGCAGTTGGCATAATGGCTATGTCGCTGGACTCCCATGTAGCCAACCACAGTTCAAGTCCCGGACCCAGTGGCTTACACTCACGCTGGATGTGTGTGCGTGCATGCCCAAGATCCCAAGAGGAGAATGGAAGAGAAGGGATTGCGGCGTGGCCATCCCCCTGGGGGTGATTTCTTGCCTTCTATGTCTCTGTCTCTGTCTTTCTGGTGAGCACATGCGCCCTATAGCAAAAACCTCTCAAAAACAAAACAAAAACAAAAACAAAAAAGAATTTAACTCAAATAGAAACTCCTGCTTGGACTGTTCTCCAGGGCACAGTGGAAGAGTGGAGGGGCACTCAGTTTGACTCACACCACTGGGTTATAGATTTATTCGGTGGCTTGACTTGGGACATTAGTTTACACCCTCCACACTTGGATCGCTCACCCTCCAAGGGATGTGTGAGCAGGCCTTTTCTGCTTAAGTTAGCTGCAGTGGGTTTTTGTTGCTTGCAACCAACAGCCCTAACTGGTTCACAGTCACTAGGTCTCATCAAGTCAATAGACAATGGCTCTTCATGGTAAGAGTAAGCTTGGCTATATCAAGCAGATCTGCAAATAGCCTCAAAACCCAGCAGGCAACAGACAGCCTACCTGTTCTGGAGTCCAGAGAAAGACTTTGGAAGATATTCCTGAGGATCTGAGTGGGTCCTGCTTTCAGCTGCCCCATCCAATGACAATTCCTTGTATTTAGGATTCTAAACAGAGAAAGATGAGAACTTATACTCTTGGAAGTTAGGTAATATGATAAGAAGAGAAAAGTTTGGAGTGCAAAGAGACCTGGATTTCCATTCCAACTCCTCTGCTTACTAACACTCCTGTAACCTCTCTGACTCAGTCTCCTTGTCTGTAAAATGGGAGGGGGGGAGATAGGGAGTAATTTAAATGTTTTCATCTCTAAGTATTAAATGCCCAAGTCTAACTGGCACAAAAAAATGTTTATTGAGTCCTGAAACTGCCCTCGAAGATATAGGTTGACTTAATCTGTGGCTGTCTCCTTTCTTGCTGATTCTCTTGGCCCTGCCCTCCTTTGGGTGTCAGTTCCACCCTCAGGCTGCACCCAGCTGGGGCAGCAGATAAAGCTATGGACATCATACCCGGTCACAGTAATCTCAGAGAAAGGGAAGGAGCTGATCGTGTAAGCCAGAGCCTGGGGAACAACTCCACCAGCGAGCCACTCCACCCATCTCATTGGTCCAAACTGGGTCACATGCCCGTGCCTCAGCCAATAACTGTCACCAAGGAAATGACAGATCCCAATGGGCTTATGCCTAAATGCCTGAACCAATGAGGGGCAAGGATTTTGGGATTAGCAAAACTGGTTTAAACCAGCACTTCTTCAATTTTTTTTTTATTCTCAGGCCCACTTTTACACTTTTAAAAGTTAGAAAGGACCCCAATAAGATTTTTTTGCATGGTTTACACAAAGAGTCTCCAAAAAATTCATAGACAGTGTATATTATGAAAAAAACTGTGCATGGATTTCAAAAAATTTTGCATCGAAATGAACTCGTACTTGAATTCCTTTTTCCCCCAAACCTTTGGAAGCCTTTACTATTTTCCAGTGGTTTCCATTTTGTAAATTAAAACTGAAAAGTTTATTTAGTTTTAAAATCATAAGTATAAACGCCGTACACATTAATATAAATAACATAGTTTATAAATAACAACTGTTCTTCCCAAAGCAAAAAAGAAAAAATGAAAGCAGTAGGCCTTATTTCACATTTTTGCAGATCCCTTTAAAGTCTGGCTTCACAGAACATCGCAGGGTTCA